CCGAATATCTGACGTGTATCTGGAATCACATGTCCTAGCATATTCTCGTTCCATGTTTAAGGCTGACAGTCGGGTAACCCATGCTCTGAAATGTAAATTAGAAAGAGAAACTAGATGGTCAGGAAAAATGCAAAAAAATGGCTCTAGAAAATGGGAAGTAGTCCACGATAGATCAGTTTCTAGGAATAAATCGAATACCAATTGGTCAAAAATTAAGCCCCTTATAAAAGAAGCTATATTTGAAAATAGGATTGAATTCTGGCATCAATATGTGGAACCCTTAAGGAAACAGGGTGACCTACTAAAGCTTACACACCTTATCTCTGCAGATCTTACATGGAGATCTTTGATTTATAATTTACCTAAGGGGGTATTGAGTTTCGCAGTGAGGGCATCCATAGATTTTTTACCCACTCTAAGTAATCTCCGTACATGGGGTAAGCGAACAAATGATAAGTGTAATATGTGTCAAAATAAGGAAACTCTTGTGCATGTCCTAAATTCATGCCTGTATCACTCGAACATGGCCGATTTACGTGGCGGCACGATTCTATAATACATTTGCTGATTAAATATATTCTGAAATATAGGAGGGTTGACAATGTTTATGCAGACGTAAAAGGCTACTCCATAGCAGGGGGAACAGTTACCCCAAGCGTCCTCATAACGAAGGCAAAACCGGATATTGTTATCGTAACAGGTAATAATATCGAACTTTTGGAATTAACCGTACCATTTGAAATGAATATCGATAAAGCGCATCGACGAAAAGAGGATAAATACAAAGATACCATCAATGATATTGTCAGAAATGGGTTTAGAGGTAAACTTACCTGCCTTGAAATAGGAAGTAGAGGTCTCATTACTCCAGCAAATGAATGTAGAATAAAAGATATTCTTAAGATAACTTCAAGAAACACAAAAGCAATAATTAAGGAAATTTCAGAAACTGCTCTCGTTACCAGCTACACAATTTGGAATGCTAGGTTTAACCCTGCATGGGAAAATATTACACTAATGTAATAGTTCTTGGATGGCTCTAATCTATCTGGCCGTTCGCCCTTTAATCTGAATCTGATAAATGTTTTTTTTTATCTTTTGATGTTTCGTTTAATATGTATTTGTTGTCTTCCTGCATTGGTCTGTATCTACAGACCTTGACCTGGATTTGATGTGTCTTCTTTTTTACTTGAGATTGAATATATTATTGTTGTTATTATTATTAATATGCATATTATATTTTTAAGGCCTATTATTATTATTAATTTTATTATTATTATTATTATTATTATTATTATTATTATTATTATTATTATTATTATTATTGTTATTATTATTATTATTAATAGGCATATTATATTATTATAAGGCCTATTATTATTATTATTATTATTATTATTATTATTATTATTAACAACACGATATTCAAACTTAAAACAATGATTAATTTAGTCTTTTTGCAAGTACTGTACACGAGTTTTAAAATCAATCAAGAGATTTTTGCTTTTCTCCCCTTTTTACCTTTCACTTCTGTATTAGTAATATTGCGACTACACTATTGTGAGTGGAATTAATATCAGTCTATTGTCAAATAAAGTGAAATCACCTCGACCTGACAAAATAAAGTAAAATGATCAGCCATACATATCGACAAATCAAAAAAGCTCCAAATAATACGAAATGGTTCTTCTTGCAACATTATAGTTCAAGAGCGAGAATAGCCTAGCAAAAGTGTTTCACGCTGACATTAGCTGTTTTTAGGTAATTTTTTGTCTTTCCACAGTCGTATCTGGCAAATACTTGTCGGATTTTTGTATTCCCTTCTGAATTTGGAAGGCAATTCTTTTCTGATTGCTTTAGTATTTGTTTCAATTGTATTGCTTGAAAAAAGTCACCGTCATTTTTCACTTTTCTATTGGTGCTATGTTGACCGCCCACCGCGCATAGAGGCTGCATTTTGACCTCTTTTTAGTGACTTCGTTTAAATTGCCATTTCGGCTGTTCACCAATCAAATATCTTGTTGTTCATTCTCCCCAGTAAACGGAAAGCTGAATATTCATAGATTCTTCTCATATAAAATATATGAAAAAAATCACCATCAAAACACTAATTTCAATATGAATGAACAATCCTGTCTAGGCATTATGCCCGAAAAAATGCGAAGCTTTGGTATAGCCTTCCGCTAACATTGTCAGAGGTCTACAGGCCCTGGCCTTAAAAAAAGAAAAAAAAAGAAAGAAAAATTACCTCCAGCGACTTCGTTGGGCCACTTTAAATTGCCATTTCGGCAATCAAATATCTTGTTGTTCATTCCCCAGTAAACGGAAAGCTGAATATTCATAGATTCTTCTTATATAAAATATATTTATTTATTTAAACAATATTTTGTGAGGGTGGTCCATCCACCCTGAGCTAATCAATTGGGACCCTCAGTACATACAATTAGAACGTAAGTATAAAAATTAAACTTGATCTTTAACATAAACAAATTAATTAAATTAAACCAGAATATGAATTCCCATTGGATGAAAAAAAAATCACCATCAAAACACTAATTTCAATATGAATGAACAATCCTGTCTAGGCAATATGCCCGCAAAAATGCGAAGCTTTGGTATAGGCTTCCGCCATTGTCAGAGGTCTGGAATCCACCATCAACTAAACTGCCTAAAAAAAATTGGTTCATGTGGGAATCAAACACACAACCTTCACGTTTGCTATTCATTATCCACCATCAAATAAACTGCTTTAAAAGAAATTAAAAAAAATATAAAAAACAATTGGTTCGTGTTGGAATCGAACACACAACCTCCAGGTTTGCTATTCATTATCCACCATCAACTAAACTGCCTTAAAAAAAAATTTTTTTTTTAATGGTTCATGTGGGAATTGAACACACAACCACCAAGTTTCCCGTAACATGATTAGTCTAATTTTTTTTTAAAGTGCGTAAGTTATGGAGATAGTAACAATCAAAAATCGATTATAAATTTAATTCTACATTTATTAGACAAAAAAATAAGCCCTCTTGGCCCACGGCCCATTTTTGACACCATGACCATGCGTAATAGTTTTTATTCTCAAGTAAAAAAGAAGACACATCAAATCCAGGTCAAGGTCTGTAGATACAGACCAATGCAGGAAGACAACAAATACATATTAAACGAAACATCAAAAGAAAAAAAAAAAACATTTATCAGATTCAGATTAAAGGGCGAACGGACAGATAGATTAGAGTCATCCAAGAACTATTACATTAGTGTAATATTATTTTTTTAAGGCAGTTTAGTTGATTGTGGATAATGAATAGCAAACCTGGAGGTTGTATGTTCGATTCCAACACGAACCAATCGTGTTTTTTTTTTTTTTTATTTCTTTTAAAGCAGTTTATTTGATGGTGGATAATGAATAGCAAACGTGGAGGTTGTGTGTTTGATTCCCACATGAACCAATTTTTTTTAGGCAGTTTAGTTGATGGTGGATTCCAGACCTCTGACAATGGCGGAAGCCTATACCAAAGCTTCGCATTTTTGCGGGCATATTGCCTAGACAGGATTGTTCATTCATATTGAAATTAGTGTTTTGATGGTGATTTTTTTTTTCATCCAATGGGAATTCATATTCTGGTTTAATTTAATTAATTTGTTTATGTTAAAGATCAAGTTTAATTTTTGACAATTCACAGTATTTATAAAGAATAATACTATGAATAGCGCCAACAGTCGATGATATTGGTTGGAAATTACCGGTAGGCCTATTAGGCCTACTCCTACACGGTGGGCTGCATGTTAAGATAATTAAAATGTAGGGATTGCACTGCCTCCTTGTTCATTAAAAATTTTGTATTTTAACTGGATAAATTCTTTGATCATCAACTGTTTTTGTAGAATTCTAACATCTATCAAGTCAATTGAGTGATCTTGTTAAAAGACAGAGTGATACCCGAAAGACTACTATCCTGTGCGGATTTTCATTTATATGCAAGTTTCCAGCAAAGTCATTTGGAAATTACGTTATAAAAACTAACTATGGTTCTACTTTATTATAATGATACTATTACTAAAAATTGTTAGTTTAAGACCATAAATAAAGTCTTGGCAACGTGTGATTATCTTTACTACTTTTAAGCAGGAAATAACTAGAAGAAAAACAAAGACAGATTTATAACCTCTTAAATAACAGAACCAAATGAGCCAAGGCGCAATATTGGAGTTTCATATAACTATTATAAGGAATTTCGTTGATAAACTATGTTTGATACGATTTATAACATCATCATCATATTATCTATTTGATTTATACATTATTTGGGATCCCAGTGCTAAGCAGCAACTTGTTTTATATATATATATATATATATATATATATATATATATAACATCATCATCATATTTTATAACATCTATAACATCATCATGTGTGTGTGTGTGTGTGTGTGTGTGTGTGTATGTATGTATGTATGTATGCATGTCTTGTTTATCATGGTTGCTACTATATTCAACTATAATTTTTGAAAGATAAGTCATCACCTTTATCTTCTTTACAAGTGGGAGATAAATTAACCATTAGATAGTCCTATTTCATGTCAGATGTTTGAATTTCTCCTATTTCTATATTGGAGAGACTGGCAGACCACTGGAAATGACAATCCGTATACCAGACGACTGTGATCACTCCATGATCAACGTTGCAACTCGGAAAAATCCCCAGCCAAGAAAACAGGAAGATCAAAGAATCTTTCCAGACCAAATTTACAATGAAAAGAGACAAACAAGATCTTCAATCCCCTCAGAACAGGATTTGTCATTCACAGTCAATAACTGTTATTCACAACACATAGTTGCCAATTTCAAATTGATATCAATTAAGAATGTAAGCTAAAAGCTTACCAACTGTCTGTAAAGTTTTTACCAATTATCCAATGTTAAAATAAATAGAAATTTCTGATGAACAAATATTTCATAAATGACAAATTATGAACGGTATGTTCTGCTAAAGATGAAAAACAGTCGTAAGAAAAATAAGATTAATAGATATAAAATGTAACAATTTTTAAGCCTACCGGTGTGAGTACAAGAGTCTTCGCTAAAAGTTCCACTTATAGTTCCATCAACAGCTCTGCCAGCAGCACCCCCTGCACTGCGAGTGGTACTTTGGAAAGCTCTTTTTAACAGTGATACTAACTCTATTGAAAAAATATATTTAGAAAATGATTTCGTATTGTATTATTTGGCTCACTTAATTTTTGTTGAATCTATGATATTCTTTCTTTCGTTAAGCTCGGTTTCCATTGAATCACTCACTCTATCGGCGACATTCGCCGACAGTCGTCAGGGAGATTGAACCTGTTTCAACTTTGCCGATTGCGTTGCAGACGAATCGGGGTGCCTTCCCGATTGCGTCAGGGAAGCTAGCAATGCACACTGATTCGTCTGCAACACAATCAGCAAAGTTGAACCAGGTAAATAACCTTCCCGACAACTGTAGGCGACTGTCGCCGATGGGTGAGCGATTCTATGCTTTAAGACTGAGGTTCCGGTAGTACAGAGATTTTTTTGGGGCCAATGCGGCCGGGTTGGATGTGATTGTGACGTCAATTTACTGCCTGGCCTTTGAATGCATTTAAGACTATTCTGGTTCTGGTGGGTAAAGCCGACCTCGTAAGGACTCCAAAAGCGTAGATGTATAACAGGAGGGGTAGAAATAGTGTCGAATGATATGAAAGGTCCACAGACGCGCAGCGTCAGTCATAAGCAGGCTTGCCGAACCGCCTCAGGCCACATTGGACCTGATAGGTAGGAAGCTAAATCACACGAGATTGGCTTTGCGAAAAAAAAAAAACACATTTGGTTGTGAAATCTCGGAGCGTTTAGAGAAAGAAATGAATTAAGAAAAAAAAATCCTTCGAATGGTTGTGTATATCTGTAGAAAAAATTTTGACTGAATCTGGTAGGCCTATATCAATTTTAGGGGCACTAAATTTAGAATGCGGGGCTAGGTATATCTTTGTTAATGTTCGTGTTTATATTCTGGTTGTAATGTTGTAATTGTCTTGATACGGTATTGGGCCCTCTGAGAGAACGGTATTATATTACTTAAAAGGCAGTAATGTAATACTTTAATACAATACATTAATATATGTAGCCTATATCATAGACTTAATACCGCCTTATTCTTATACTATGCTGTTGGAAAAATAGGATATTGGTCGCCATCCGCAAAAGCAAGAGGAATTGTAGGTCCCGGGTACGCTTCAACTAAACTCACGTCAGCAAAGCAGAAGTTATACTATTTGTGGTTGTTTATGATAGTTAATTGCATTTGTAACTAATTGTGAGTTACTCACCTAAACCATGAGTAGTAGGCCCGCAACTATAACACGTTGCTGTGTCTGCAGAAACAAGAATAACAACAGCTATGTAAATTCCAGAAAACATGTTTAAACTCACAATGTAGTGTACATCAATTGTGTGAAGTAGCCTTAATGCAATTAGGGTTCCTGTTGATAACATTTCCATTTTCTTCCTTCCTATGATTGCAAAGGTCACCTGTTAGGACCAATACATTCGTCAGTAGGAAATGACACCTATTCCACGCAGGATTTGTATTAAGTGGGTGCGAATTTATAGAAAGTAGACCTTAGGAAGCAAATATTATTGGTCCAGCCAACTAGAAGAAATCCCCACTCAGCACCTCACCCAACTTCATCTCATAGAGCGCAGGGCCTTCGAAACCGCACCGGCTTTGGCCGGACCACTTTTTCTCAATCCTATCACAGGTCTCCCTCCATACCACCAATTAAAAATCCTTTTTGGGACCAGGGTTTTAGTGGTCTTTAGCAGCCGCTTGGTCTCTAATTTGAATCAATATAATTAAAGACCGGCTTTAAAAGTAGTCTTTTTAATCTCTATTTAGAGGGGAATTAAGAAATAATAGGCCTATAGTAAAAATGTAAGATGTTTGAATGGGTGTAGGGCCTACAGTTACTGTAAGATGTTATTATTATTATTAATGCTAAAACTATTTCCCTGTAGTCAAGTCCTGTGCATGATGGTCTTTTGGTGTCTAATTCAAAGGGGTCCCAATTTGGAAGAATCCACACCGGGAGATCTGTTTAAATGAATTTTCTTATGACAACCAAATTTTGCTGTGCATGGTGATAACCATTTAATGATTGGTACTAACTGCAGCTGCGCAGACAATTGATATTACAGTTTAAAAACCCGTGGGTTCTAAATGTGGTCTTTAGATTTCTCTATTTAGATGGAAATTAAATAATACATTAAATGTTTTAAAATGGTTGTACAGTAACTGCATGCTCTTATTTATTCTTAATTAAACATTTCTTAGTAGCCAGACATCAATTTGTCTTTCCATTAAAATATTACTAACATTGCCACTAACATTATCGTCATTCAATAGAGAAAAAAAAAACGCTATATACAAAACAGTGCATTGGCTAATATATCTACGTGTAAGTAATATATATCACAATTTATTGTATTGCCGTGTACATTTCAACTTTATTGACAATCCTTAATTTCAATATTTAAGATTGATTTTGAAATTGTTTAGAGGTATAATATAAAAAAACAAATAACTATTATAAAATTTTGGCAAAGGTATAATGGCCAAGCCGGCCCTGATTAGGCCTACTTCCAATATAAAAAAAATTGTAACCCTTAAATTAAAAGTGAAGACATTAATTTTTCTAAAATTATGCATGTGCTATTTCCCGGCTGAGGAGCCATTTTTCAACCATAAAAAATATGTGTTGGACCCCACCACCCACCCACGCCCACTCTTATTAAAATGGGTGGACCACTTGCAAAATGCTTCCGACGGCTATGGAGCGGTATTGCCAGTGGCGCCAGATGAGGGTCGAAATCTCTGTCGACCTCAACGCCATCATAGTTGGTGAGAAAATGTTTAAAAAAGGTACCACTTGATGTGCGGAAATGGCCTATAGGCATTATTCTTACCGGTTTTACTCCAAGACCAGAGACGGAGTAATTTGTAATTGGGGGGGGGGGGAATCAATCACTTTTAAATATCATTTTTGTGTGTGTATGGTGGGTGGGGGGGTGTGCGTCTGTGTGTTGCTTCGAATCAAATACCCAGATTACCTACAAAACACCAGTGTATATTCAGCAAGGAGTCCTGGGTTCGACACTCGGTTGAGGAGCTTTGTCCCGTAACGTGAACAACAAACGAACAGCTTCCTTCGTTACCAGTACCATCAGTAGCGGAACAGTGAACGATTGTTGAACCAACGTCAAAGGAAGACCCAGAAGCTGGTGTACAGTTTGCTGACATACCAGTACGTACGTTGTCAGCCACTGTGGGTGGGCTTCCATGTTACTGGATTATCAAGCTAGTCAACGGAACTGTCCACAACAATGTTTTATAACAGGTCAAGGGCGAAGGAATAAATGATTAGAAAATGTTATATTCAACATTTTGTATATTTATAAATTTAATATAGTGTTGTTCTTTTGCCATTTTTTTTTTCATTTTTCATTGTTTAAAACGATTTTTTGTAAAATTGATTTTACAATATTGATGCATTTCCAAATTGTAAATAGTGGAGCACATACAAATTCACCCATAGTTTATTGTAGAAAGACTATGTATACAATTGAAAATACGTCAAGATTTTCTAACTTGAAACATAAAACAACAAATGTACACTTGCTTACGTTTCCAGTTGTATCAGTTGCACTAATTATACAGTAGTAAAAATTTGTAAAAGCATGCAAATATCATCATGAATTTGCTTGATAGCTTATTAGCTTATTTCGGGAGACCCTGCAGGATACTTAGGAATAAAGGCACTAAATTTGGTATTTAGATTTCTCTATTTAGAGGGAAATTTAAAAATAATACATAAAAATGTTTTAAAATGGATGTACAGTACAGTACAGTAACTGTAGGTAAGTTAAAATATTAATTTACTCATGAAAGTACTGTAACATCTGTTTGATTAAATTATTTATAATGTTTGCTATTTAAGAAAAATATTCATTACTTATTTTGTTTTAATCTATGAACTATTTTAATGTTTTAATTACTACAAAGGTAATATAAATGGCAACATCTTCGACATTCAATTCTTTTAAAAACTAAATTATTTTACTATAACAAATGTGTGATTTCGCCCCATGTTGATTTAACGATTTTTACCATTTTGCAGCGTTAAAATCAGTTTTATTACTAAATTTTATCAGTGGGGGCCATTTCTGCCTACCTGTCATTTAGGTCCATTTTTACAGGGGAAATTTCATCCAGGGCCATTTTTCCGGACCTTTTTCTCAGCGGCCATTTTTTCCGGGGCCATTTTTACCGTACACCGAATGTGCAAGACTGTGGTGGGAGTCTGTTTTACCTTTCTGGCATATGCCGGTACCTACTTATACTCTTGGGTAGTGTCTTACCTAAGGACTTGCATAGCCAGGGGTTCGAACCCTTGGCGTCAAGGCTGAAGTTATTAGAAATCAACGGTTAGAAGAGCATTTCAAGTAAAATTCAATGCATAATACTGTATACCGCAGCATTTCCCGATAATTAGAAACGGTTTTAATGACTGAAATGAAAACGAAATTCGACCTTCTGAAATTTGAAAAATTTAGAAATTTGAAATTTTAGCTTGTGATCAGTCATGTCCCTACCACTTCTGAACTTCCGATTCTAAACCATGCATCATTTTAATGATAAAGCTAAGAAGGCAACAACATTTTGCTGTTAGTGTTATTGTCATCGTCGCACAATATTCATCGGTATAGGCCTAATCATCATTTTGTGTCGGGCTACATAAATCATCCATTGTTACTGTCAAATTTACAATTAACATTTCATATACAGTATACCTGTCCCATTGTTCACTCGTTTTTGAAATTTTGAATCAGCTAGCGATAACAGCTCTCAAAGAACACGAAACAAACGTAACAAAATGTGACTAAAATTCAGATCTTGAAAACACTTTACTTATACCACCTTAAGATACGTTTCAGTAACAACTGTATATAGCCTTCTGTCAGCAAAATACCACCACAATGAGCCTCAAATCCATGGCAAATAAGCAACTAAACCATGAATATTAGTAAAACCATAATGTCACGAAATCTAAGTGACAATAGACAAATTCATATCAGTAATATGACTGAATATTGGTGAAGAGTGTATATTATATCCTAAATGTTGAGGCATGAAAATAACCAACTGGGTTTTTATTTTTCAGCATGAAACATGATAAAGAAATGAAATCAAAATAAATATAAATATTGAAGGTTATCTCACGATCGATAGTCAGATAGTTCAGATATAAAATGCGGCTTGCATCCTCAGAACCTATAATGGAATGGAGAGCTGAGAATGTTTACATTTTCAACAAAGGTACAGGATTAACCTAAATTATGGCGACTGAATTATAGTGTTTTTTTTAACCATGAGTTTCTTTTTTACACTTTTATTAATATATACTCCACAAACATGGATTTACAAATGAATCACTAGTATTATATGACGTCATTATTACGTTTGTCTTTAAATTTTACAAGAATTTACAAGCCACTATACACATAATTTATACATACAATTGTACACATGTGAACGGATACATGTAATGGCATGGTGGAGCCTTCTTGTTATTATTCTTTGCAATTATTCTTATACATATTTACATGTAAACAATTTTCATAAACAACAATATAGATACACACTATAAGTATGGTATGTTTTAGTTGTTAAATAAGTAAAACAAACTACAAGGAAATTCTTTAAAAATAAAGGATTAGTGGAACTACTAAATTAAAGGGAAAATGTTGTACAAAGTATTTTAAGTATTCATATTGTTATAAAATGATTTAAATATTTAACAATACTGAAAAAAAATCTACATATTATATTTATTAGTTAAATAATTATACATATAACTATTATTCATATTTTTAAAAATAAAATTGTGATTATATAAATCAGATAACTAGTAACGAATGTTACAAAGTATATTTTTAAAATCAACTTCTTTGAGTTGCTTTTAGACATGAATCACTCTCTTAACAACAGGGTGTTCTAACAATTATTTAGTATATCTTTGAAGGACAAATTAGGTAATTATAACTACTCATTAATATGTTTTGATATTTTTATCATAATTTTATGGAATTCATTCAAAAAAAATCAAGGTTCACTTAAAAATTTGCATAAATAATTATTCAATAGTTTTTCAACCTATTAAAGATTTGTAAAATTCATTTTTTATGATTTTATTTCTTATAATTAAAATGTAACTTATTAGTATTTTAAAGTGTATACTTTAGCTGCACAGATTTCTCAACAATAGAATAAATTTAAATTTCAAAAGGCCATTTGTTAATTACCTAATGTATCTTATCTCCATGTAACACTAGTAATAAAATTTAAAATAATATGTATCGGAATTTAATTAATACAAGTACAAGGTGAACTCCTCTCATTATATGCATCATTAATTATTAATTATAAAGAAAAATCTAAAAATGTAGAGGGTAATAAAACTGAACAGTATGCATAGATAAACTACTTAACAAGTATGAACACCTTTTTACAAAAAAAAATTTCAATTTATATACATTTTAATATTGAGTTTGTGCCAAGAAATATTTACAACGTTATCAATTTTTAAATGTTTAGATATGAGGGCGCCCTTTGTTACTCTTACAACTCAGCAACAGGGAGATGGTAGAATCACATACTGTAAAATATATTGACTAGATCACATTACTGAACACACCTTATCTTATTTTGCTGAGTGTGTCAACACTCAAGATCAGCTTGGGCAGATCCAGAATTTTTCAAACGAAGGGGTGGGGGGCACAACATATTCAGAATAGATAAGTGAGAATGCTAATTTCAATAAATGCCTTGAAATTTTAAAATTTAGTGACAGAACAGGGATGGGAGGCGCACGCCCCTACTGGATCCGCCCCTAATCAGCTGACTTCAGTGGGATACAGTAGTAAAACATGCAAACTGTGAGAGAAAAGTTAGTTTGAAGGAGATTTTTGCTTGATCGCAGGAGTGCGGAGATGCTCCAAATTTCTGAGATACATTCACAACTCACAGCAGATATGGGACCCTTGATTATGTTCACACCAGTACTGAAAACAAATCTGAACATATCTTTGCATGTAGAATAGATTTATTTGTGCGTATTAACATAGTAATATTGTAGAAGTTGTGTTGTTGCACCATACTAGATCTAACACCATGAAAACAATAAAATGACAAATATTCAGTTTTTATATACACCATTTTATCAGGTCTATTTTGAAACAGTGCCAACGCCTTCTTCTGAGTACTTCAACAACAAAAAACACTGCAGGTTTTATGCGCCCCTAATTTCTTCCTTTATATTTTGTTTTGACATTTTGTTTTCAAAGACTAGAATATGCCTCTAAAACAACAAGTTCGTGCACCAGTCATACAGCACGGCTAAACACTGGGACTCAAAGAGTGAAATGACTAGGTCTCTGGATGTCCCCCAGTGGTAGTTGCCAGGTTCTTGGACATTTTTATTTCAAATCTAGCGAAAATGGTGTACAGTCACAAAATTTGGAATGATATCACCCATAAAAAGCACCAATTACTGTCAATCATTATAAATTGCTAGAAGTGTTACGATATACATGATTGTGCAGAAACCTTAAATGGGAATGAGGAACAAGAACTGAAAAGACTGGTACTGATACAGGCTACAGTATCTAATAAGCTGCGGTAATAAATATTATTATTATTATATACTGTAGCATGGTGGTAAATTGCTACAAGAAGGTACCAACTAGATTTAGATGCTATACTAACCATATATGGTACTAAATGGATTTACTGTACTGCAATGCTAAATACCATAGGGTACCAAATAGATTTATCTCTGGTACCATGGGGTATCATAGGGTACCAAATAGATTATTTGTGGTACTAAATACCAGAGTACATCTGCAATACTAAATACCATAGGGTACCAATAGCTTGGTAGATTACTTTAAGACACCTACTCAATTTGCAGCAGTTCACAATACCCCAGGGTACCAAAGGATTAGCTGTGGTACTAAATACCATAGAGTACCAAATAGATTTACTATAGGGTATCAAATAGCTGTTTAATAAATACCATGGGATGCCATGTACTGTGGCTTTGTAGCTTGGTGGTACTGTAAATTGTACATTGTAACAATTATATTGGCTGCAATACTAAACACCTTAGGATTACAAAGGGATTGTAGTATCAAATTCCATATGGTATAATTTGAAAGTACCAGACATTAAACTGTACCACATAGAGTATAACAGCACCAAATACAACATCATGTACAGTAATCGACTGCTAGGTGTACTTAGTAGTACAAAATAGACTGGTAGTGGGTATCTAATGCAAAATGGTCCGACACTCGACATCACCCTGCTCTACCGATGAGACAAACCCAAGTATTTTAGAACTATACAGCATTATTCTTTCTTCAGCGTTGCGGCCTCTTTGAAAGAAGTTAAAGTCTTTTGTAACCAGCTGTTCTTGGATGCTTGCATCTCCTGCAGCTCGTTAACAGCAGCATTTAAACGATGCTCCAACTCTTGTACATGGCACTGCGATTCAACAAGCTCAAGTTTGGTATGCGCTAAGTCCAGCTCAAGCTCCCGTGTCTGCGATGCCGCAGCAGCAAGTCGCGGGTCCACATCCTCTGGCTTAAGGGGTGGTTCACTTGGTGCTAGATTTCCATCGTCTGTGAATATTTTTGAACAGGTATCACAGCTTTGGACATTACTCTGCAAATGAAAATTTAAAAATCTAATATTAGAATTCTTGAATAAGCAGCATATCATTTGGCTAAAATGTTGGTAGCCACTATAAGTGCACTCATCAATGAGACCCTTAGATTCCTGGTTCAAATCTACTGCTTATTTCCAAGAGTTTCAACAGAATTGGAAACCAGTATCACTGGCATAGGCCTAAAAGCACTGCCTGTATATGTTCAAGCCATAATTGTGGATAACACCATGCCAAATGCATGTCTTAGTAGGGCCTGGGTTGTACTTTCTTGGATGAAATTGCCAAAAAACTGTGCATGAATTGCATGTTACTATATCGCAGAAGAGATGTTTTAGCCATTGGTTGTGTGTGTGCGTGGCTTTGCATGTACTTAATAGTAAATAAGAACAGTCTAAAACTTTTTTTAAAATCCTTGAGATTTTGTGTCGTTCAGGCTTGGGCAACACAGTTATTGTTCTTTGCTAAATGCTTAGTCTAACCTAGAAACATGGTATGTCAAGCTGAGTAGTGTTGGTCTGTGTGAAAAGGGCTAGAGAAATTAAAAGGGATTTTCGGTTGGTACATTGATTTGAGCAATATCCCATATTTTAATCAGACATGCCAACCCTACAAGGCCAACAAGAGGTCTGAAAACCATTTGAGAGGAGTTTTGGCAATGTCAGCAGAGTATGTTAAATTTTTTCCTACGATATATGGTACCAATGTGATCGAGTATTATCGGCATATTTAAAATGCCGTTTTGACTCACAATGACGCTTTACATCAGCAATACCGCTGTGCGAGACTAGGCCTAGGCCTACTTAGAAAGTCAACACCACAAGAGAAAGTCTCGCACAGACGAGTGTAGGCATCACCTAGTTTTGATTTTCAAAATGACAGGATACTAATTGTTATAACTTGCACGCAATATTTGGAAAATGAAATTTTTGTTTTTTTCGAAATCAGTAGACTGTGGAGTGCGAATTACCTTTTCGTATAGAGTTCAGACAGCAACAATATATCGTTGTCAGAGTTGCACTCTCAACTCAATACGAAAAGGTAATTCGCGCTCCACGGTCTACTGATTTCGAAAAAACAAAAATTTCATTGGCTACAGTTGCACTGCACTCTGAACTGTAAAACGCTCCATGGTCTACTGATTTCGTAAGAACAACAGTCTAGTAAAGCACAAGTACCAAATCAGTAGACCATGGAGTACGAATTACTTTTTCGTAGACAGATCAGGACGAAATTAACTGGTCTTGTTCTTATCTAAATCATAGGATTTTATTATTTGGAAATGCGCGATTTATTTCAGCTGGCCGTAATGTGTAAAAAGTGGGGATTTTCGACACAAAATCGGAGTGATGAGTTTTGCTTAAAAAAACAGGGTAACTCTGCCGAAACCGGAGTGGTTGGCATGTCTGCTTAATTCACCCACTACTTATCTAGAACTTACTCGTATATGTTCCATTGTTTGTTTATGAGATGTTTGTTGTTTTTCTAATCGTTCACTCAACTGGGAGCAAATTTCTTTGTAGTCTATGATGATGGCTGTATTTCTTGAATTCTCTCCTTCTGATTTTTCTGTCTCTCTTCTGTACATTTCTTTAATCTGTGAAAATTGGAATAAAAATTACTAAAAATATTTCTTCGTGTAGTTCATGTCCTGCAAAATATATCATGTACCTGAACTGGGCGAAGGGAAATAATTACTTCCTACCCCAAAATATTTAAAAGGAAACTGAGCTAACATTATTAGAGACTGAGAAATCTTAACTTGAGTGTTGAATTTTTCAACCAGTTCAAAATTGTCCAGAGTTTGAATGTATTTATTTGTAAGAAATCTGAAAAAGTGAAAGATGTGAGGGAATGTCTAAAAGCTAAAGGTAATGTTTTCATAAGTCAACATTATAAACTTCACAATACTATGGGATGAAATCCATCCAGAACAAATAAAGTTTTTTTCTTGGATGTGAAATTTCAAAATTTCCATCAATATCAAAAGAAAAACTTTGTGAACCTGAATTGTCTCTTGTTCATGGTGTTTCTTCTCTTCATCTAAATCTTCAAGCTGCTGTTTCAATGCTTTCAGTTCCATTTCCATTGCATTTGACAAATCTCTTTCCTGCAATTATAAGACAATATATAATGCCATGTTGCATGTGTCTTAAGTTGAGAAAGTCAAATTCCTGGAGATTTTGTCGTGCAGGACTGGCAGAGATTTGCGACGTGTGTACTAGCGGCTAAAATGCATATACAAGGACACACGAGTATAAATTTATCGCCTTGTTCAATATAAAAACAAGCTTTGACAGGTCACTGTTAATATACCATATTGCTGCCTAGAATGTTCAATAAATCTTAATTAATGCATAAGAATGGGGAAATATTGATGATTTCATATAAAATAAAAATTTTATTTTTGGCTAATTAGTGCACCTGTCGCCACGAAAAAATGGAAATTTCAGAAAAAAATTAAAAGTTTTCTTTATTTTTATTATGCTCTCCACTGCCTTGAAATCTACAAAGATAAGATATGTGTATTTCTTCCTAATTATATAAATTTGAAGCATTTAACCATCCTATTTTACATTCACCAATAAAATTTTATTTTGATTGTCTCCTTCATTTGGATGATTTTGGCAAAACTAATTGCTAAATAAGAAAACAAAATTTATTTTTATTTTTATTCTGCCCTCCTTCGATAATCTTTAAAAAAAATAAGTACGCGAAAGAAGGAATAAAAAGTTTTGCCTAATGTAAGTAAATAGGCATTGATATTTATAGCATGTCAAAACTTTGTTTTACCATAATCCCCATTAGGTCAAACAAACCTGAGGCAAATATTAGTGCCTATCCAAGAAAATTACACTGAAGAAAAACTGTGTCTTGATTGTCAAAAATATTTCATGATTTGTTTTCTACTACAAATGCTTTAGAAAAAAAAAAAGACACTGAATTAATTTAAAGATCATTAGCAAATTAAGCACCAGAATGAGAGGGAACCTTCAGCAAACACTGATGCACAAAATGAAAGTATCAAGATGAGATATGGGAGTAATCTACACTACAACTTGCAAGACGAAAACTTGGTTTTACCAATTAGATACATAACTTACTTCATCAATTTCTTTTTGTAATGACAGTCGACATGTGATCAGCTCGTGAGCAAGTTCATCGTTCTCTTGGTCTAACCTCATATTTTCCTGCATGAGCTGGCGATTCTCATTCTAAATTGGAAAGAAATATATAACAATAACAATATTAATAGTAATATTAATAATGATAACATAATTCCCTTTTCCCTTCAATTCGAATATTGAATTAAAATATAAGAGGGTATATCTTGAAAAGCTGGTAGGAGCAAATGACGGGAGAAGTATATGCAAATGCTTTCATTGATGTACAATAAAAAGCCAGAAATGTATGGGCCCAACACTTTTCCACCCCCGAGTCCCATGACTCTTCGTTAAGCCATTGACATGTTGGTGTAATGAGATAAAATTGAACAACTAAATATAGTATACTCTATGCAACTGTATAGGCATGGAGTCATAACCATCATTAATCTGAATACTTAGACAGATATCACAAGATACACAAATCAATAACCTATAAATTGACAATGTAATAATCTGGTAATTAATGCACATAAATTGGCAAATAAATGAATGACTTAAATTAAATTATGGATATATATATGATCACCTGATGACATAAGAAAGAATTATAGCATGAAAATTTTGATATATGCCTCAAGGGAAATGTAATCCAATATACATGAATATAAAGCTAATTAAAGTAAATCCAGAAACACAGTTTATCATTAACAACACCGAACAAAAGTCATACAACATATCCTCATAATTCATTAAGAGCTGATCACAAAATCCACCTTTAATTCTTTATACTATATAGTGTAACCCCCATGTAATTTTGTATTCAATGTAAAAGTTATCATTTAATAATTGTAATTATTTTAAGTAATCTTATAAAAAAAAAATTGCAATTTTGTAAAACTAACACAAAATGTCTATATTAATAATTTTATTTTAGCTTTTAAACTCCAAAAACCATAACAAATGCTTTTATATTAAAATATGATTTATACTGTATTGTATACTATTGTTAGAGGATGCAATCTGTGACCAGTTTTGCTGGTAGAACTGTGTGCTGGAAATAAACTTCAATAAAATTTTGAAATTAACATAACAGACTGGTTATCCACAATGAAGGTGTGACTAAGTCTTTAAAGTGCCTGCTTCCTAATTCCATAGTTCTAGGTTCAAATCCTTTAAAATTCAAAAGGTCTTGGTTCAATCCACGACATACACATAGCAATGAAGACTTGGGTATAGCAAGGGATTAGCCAGCGAGCTGTCCGGCAGTCTTTTGGACGGCCAACAATTATTTAGGACGGCCACTTTTACCGTGACGGCTTAGACGGCTTGGCCTACTCAACTCGTCCTAGCCTAGTTGGGCCTGGTCTACCTTTAGCAAATTCTTTATATTCTTGGAATCTATCGAATTTTTCATTAAACTAAAGCTAAATCATAATTTAAATTATTGATTGGATTTACATGGTATGGTAGGGATTCCCAAAAAGGTAAGGCTAAACCATTGTCTACCTTGGTAAAATTTCACTTACAAAACGCGTATGTCATGTTAAAAACATATGTATACTCCACTGGTAAATATACGGTTATAAGTCGCCCACAACACATGTACGTGCCTCTGCAAAATACAGTACATCTTCCATCTTGGACAACCTATTTCGTCTTTCTGGCTAAACACCTGGGGTATAGAGAAACAAGGATCCCCAATGATCCAGATTGTATTGATCCCAAATGAGATTAAGTGTTGACAAGATAATATACATGATTATGTGATTTTATAATTTGATCTTGATGGCTGAAACCATGTCATCAGTATAACAGTTTATGTGACCCATATATCTAATAACTACAACAGTGGTAGGTAAGCTAATAGGGTTTACCCTTCCAGAATGTTTTAGGGAGGGATGAAACAAATTAAACACGCACCCAGTTGTCCTGCGTTGCATTGCATGCCGACCACCTATTATCTAAAGAAACAAAGACAACCTAGGACTACAGAATCCAAGAGAGGACAATGGGCTTTTTGCCACATAACATGAAGAAGATAGGTCAAAGGTGAAGCAACGGGTGTTCAGTTGTCTTACCTCCAGCCGTTCAATAGGGTCTTCTCTTTCTGCCATTATTACCTCATACTCTTTTTCAAATTTGCGTAGTTTTCGAGATGTTACCTGAAGAATACAAATTTAGGGAGAATATGTGATGAAGTTAATGTATTAATTTAAAAAAAAAAAAAAAACCCAAAAAGCTACTGTAGTTGTGCTGGATAAACAGTTTATCAATTCACAGGGGCCCCAAGTTGGAATCACATTTTTGAATAAAGTAAATAAGTTCTAAAATCTCTGCTGACCTTCTAGGCTTCCTGAAAAGGCCACCCTCTTTAAATATATTGTATAAATATAAAATTAAAATATAAAAAGGCATGACTGTATGTGTAAAAATGTGTTTGTAGGTTTATTATGTAACAGTTTCATAATATAATTATGCAGATTTGTATAAAAAGTCTGTACCTTCATAGACATAGCTGACTGAACAAGTTCCTGCGCACTTTCTACTGTGCGAAATTTCTTTGGCAATGACACTCGGAAATATTTCAAGATTCCCTCAAAATCCATGGTCAACATGTCCTTTCTTCCAGCCTGCAAATAGAATTGAAATGCAAGGATAACAAAACAAAACAAATTTCATACATGAATAATTAATAGGACGCTTAGCCTTTATGATTCATATTTCACTCTCAATATATCAAAGTTACCTTCAAGAGCGCAAGCGAGAAGTTAAATATGACCTGCATACCCTCGCAGAGAAACACATCCATGATGTGGAAAGCAGTGTGTAAAGGAAACTTGGACGTGAACAGCGTGAGGAACCATTGTGATGCGTACATGTGAGTCTCGATTCCAAGGTTCATGAAATGCGAATACAGGTCGGGCATCACATCCTAGGATAAGATAAAAATAATTGTTATGAACACAACCAATGGTGTACATACACTTCAACTTTTTGTTTATATGTAATCATACTCAAAAATAAATTGCATGACATTGACCCTAATATAAGAGAACACCTCCATCAGTGATATGATACATGGTAAGTAGTTTTAATTTTTGTCACCATTGGGAATCAAACCCTACAACTCTCTGAGTAAGATTTGGTTGCCCTCCCAATCGAGATATGAGTTTTTTCTCTATTAGGACAAAATAAAATGTAAAACAAAAAAAAGAATACACACACACACACACACACACACGCAATCAAAAAAACATTTTGAACCAGAAGTAGTTAATTTAAAGTAAATATTTCATTATTTTATGACAGTATTTTCCAGCTTAGCTACCTGTACTTATTCAAATCATATCCTTGGGTTTTGCCCGGGAAAATGCTGGTTATAATAAATAACATTTATATAGCGCAAAAGGTTTGAAGCACTTAGAATTATCAGTTCTGTAAACAAATCAAAAGAAAAGATGAATTTTGAGTTTTGCTTTGAAAATTTTGACAAATGTTGATGCACGGAAATCATATGGATGGCTGTTCCATAGTTTTAGAGCTGCAACAGAAAAAAACCTTGTCCCAATATGAATATGTTTTAATATGTGGTTCAGGTTTCAGTAGGAATTGGTTAGATGAGCGGAGAGTTGAATTGGTGGCGAGTGAGACAAGTATATATATACAAAAATATATACGGAGCACATTCGTTTATGGCTTTGTATGTCAAAACAATTTTTAAAATAATGTGTTGCTTGATGGGCAACTGCAAATCGCACAAAACAGGAGAAATGTGGTCACAGCGTTTGGTGCATGCAGCAAGTTCTGCAGCTGAGTTTTGAATGACAGAAGGGTATTTGGTAGGCAATATAAAAGCAAGTTACTACAGTCAAGGCGTGATGAGACAAGTGCAAAGTGTTGAATTTTTATCTAAATATTTGCAAATCTGGCAGACCTTGTATATCCCAAAAGATGTTAAGCAGGAGGTGTGCTTACAGTTTTTATTTATTTATTTATTTATTCTTTGTTTATACTGAATATACTGTCAATACAAAGTACTGATTTCCAAAGTGGTTCAGCTCTTAACTACAAAAATTTAAAAAGCAGATACAGTAAAACATCCATTTTATGTACCCCTTGGTACCAAGGGGTGTTCGCAAATTGAAAAATTTGCGAACTAAATCGGTCGTCGTTTTCAATACCTAGGCCTAGCTATCCCCTGCCATTGAGCGTCGATAGGTCAGGCCTAGCACGAACTGACAGTGCAGCACCGTGGTCTACCGCGCTAGAGCCTAGCTGAATTTACCTTCAATAAAAACCAATTTGTCCGTGTAAGGGCCCGTTCGAGCGAAAAAATATCTGTGCGATTTACCAGTTAATTCACCAGTACACACTTTCTAAAACCGCTTGGACACTAGTCTAATTACCTTACCATCTGGATTATCCACAACAATTTTGACCACCAAATTGCTGGGTAGAGTACCGTGTATGGAATGATCATGGAGCCGGAGGCGATGATAAATCAACCTTAATTGTTTTTCCAAATGTTTTGTCCACAGCCCAGCGCGAAATAGGTTACGGCCCAGGCGTGGTTGCAGCTCTCTTTCGCCTCCTCACAAATGCACGACGAAATCTAGATTTAGTAGCATAGCGGAGAAATAAACTTGAATAAACTAGCCTACGTACAGATTTTAAAGCAGCCATTATAAGTTATTTAGCTACATTATCGTTCCACCGTGCCGCGCTGTGTGTACGTGGGCCGGTTATAGCAAGGAGGTATACCTCCTTGGTTATAGCAGCAGTAGCAAGTAAACAAAGAATGGGTTGTTGACCATGGGATAAGTTAAATTTTACTTCCGGAGTAGTATTGTTACACGTATTTACTGTGAGCTAAAACTTGCTCGAACGGTCGACCACCCGCTAAGTGCTGGTTTACCCAGTGAAATAAATGGAATACGGTTGGCGTTTTTTGCTCGAACGGGCCCTAATTGTCAATAATTTTGTTTAGGTGGCCAATGGTATACGAGCTCTGCTCTTTTGTTGGTCATCCTTCCTTTGATCAATATATGAAAATATGGAAGTTTTTGGAAAATAAACTGAAACTGAAAACTGAAACTGAACTTATTTTAATCGCTGGCATTCTTCCACTTAACAAAATATTATTTTAACTCTTTTTTAAACACCTATATCCTTAGAAGCCTTGTGTTAGTAAATTAAATTGCTGCTTATATATGCAATGCAGTGATATATTCTCTATTGCCAATCCCTAGTGCTTAGCCTATGTACCTAAATATATAAATTATATATAAATGAATTGCTGGACATATGATATGGGATGAATGTATATATATCAAGCACATATTACACTAACAGTCAAGCAAACTGCTCACTGATGGATTACTCTTTATAAACAAAGTTGAATATAAAGGTAAACCAAATGTATAATGAATAATGGAATATTTAATGGGTACCATAAAAAATCGCTCCAGTTGGTAGAACTTGCGATGAAGTTCAGCAAAATCATTGCTAAACAGGCTTTGTAAGCCGTAGTCCGACATTATCTTGACTAGCACGGTGAAGGCCTGTTCCTCTGGCATCTATAAATTTTTAAAAAATTTAAAACCGTATTTCAAAATTCTATCATGGTTAATACAGTATTAAGGTTAAGATTAAGATTAGAAACAGGTAAATTGTATGTTCCTTTTCTGTTCAATATTTATTTATCATATTTATTTAATTAATTATATTCTGAATAATTAATTTAATCTTTAACTAAATTAAACTAATAAAAAAAAAGTTATAGCCTATGAAGTAATACTTACATGCAAGAGTAGAACTGCACCTAAGAAGGACAAGCCTTGGACATAGCCTATCTCCTGATCATGTATGGAGTAAGCCTAGGGAAAAAAGACAATAAATAAAACACTGTTTCAAATTAGAAGAGCAATGACAGGGAACAGTAGAGTATGAGTTGTTTGAGTGGGCCGGAACTTAATCCAGAGTAGTACAACATATGTTACAGTAGTTTATAATTTTTATTTCCTCAAATAGAGATGGTAGGCAATGAAGAGAAGTCTTGCCTGTATATTGTTGTCATCTACTATACTACAGAGCAAATTAAATATATTTAAAAATCTAAACAATTATCATCATTACATTAAAACTAATTGGTAGTGGCCAATTTGTAACACCTGAGCAAACTTGAGAAATGGGGCTGATGATAATAGTAATAATCTTATGATGATGATGATGATGTGATGATAGTAATGATGATAATGATGTTCATGGTGATGATAAAGATGATTATTGCGATGATGATGATGATTAATATGATGATGACAACTGCAATGATGAAAATGATGACCATTAAGATTATAATGATGATAATGACGATGATAATGACTATTACATTACATTTACAATAAAAGATAAAGACCATTATGATCATAATGAATATGGTGATATGACACAGATAATGATATTAAAGATGAAAATGGTCTTGATTTTATAATTTCATTGTCTGTTCCGAGTACCCATAACTCAAAAAGTACCCATCAATTAAACCCATTGGTTTAGGCCATACGGTATCTTCAGGTGTAGGTTGCTGCATTTTGACTGCTATTTCTGATGGGAAACATTCAAATCACCTTGCTAATTTTGTAAAGACCATCCTGGCCCTGCCCTTCCTTCTCTTTAAAGTAATCATTGGCGGTGAATGTACGTGAAATGTCTCGTTGAATTACCGATTCAAATGAAGATTCCTGCAAAAACAAAAAAACAGATGTACCATGTATGTGCCCCAAAAATAAACATTTCATCATATAGAGCAAATGATCTTCTAAGCGCCTTTCTTGAAATATGCGCTGTTTTTCCAATAATTACTGCACCAAATCAAACTTTTTTCTTTGGTAGGTGCCGCTCTTAAAATTTAAATACAACATTTAATAGAATATATTATACAGCAGTTTGAATATTAGTGTTGCAGTGTATAATCTAGAGTACATCTTACCCAAGTCACTTCATATTATGCTATTTAACAATCGATTAAAAAAAAAAATACTAATATTGTAAGCATGTCAGGCTTCCTATAAGCCTATATACAACACATGACAACAGTTTTACAAATCACAATATGGTCACCATTATAGTGTCACTCAATAATTTGTATAAGGATAAACATTCGTTTATTTTATTTTGGCCTGTGAAAATAATATTTTTGCCACTCAATGTTTACGTAAATGACAGACCCTCTAGAGACAATGATCTTAAAACAATAATAGAGCAGATAAAAAACCATAAATTAATCTTGAAAGATCAACACTATTAGGTAATTAGCCAAGCTTTAATGAACCAAAGTGTTTAAATCAAACAATTTTCATGACAGGCTATTTACAACAATTTACAACAATAAACATTTGCTTTAGGTAACCTTAGACCTTTAATTCTACATAGAATGTATTTCAAATACACTTTTTTTTTTTTTATAAGAACACATTTTACAAGAACACTGAGGCTGAAATTGCTTAAAAATTAAGAACAAAATAAGAACAAATTGAGGCTGAGGTAAAATTTCAAATGAGGTTTATATTTTTAAAAACCAAAAATATTATATCAGTTCATTATGTGCAGTATAGGTGTGATGGTAATACTCTCTATAATACAGTACTGTACAGTAGGTGTACCTGTCTGATATTTGGGGGCCATTTTTTGTGGGGTCATTTTCACCTAAATTCCAGTACAGTGCATACTGCCGTACAATTAAATAATTTTTTGTTTAAAAGGTGCGTAAACTAAGAACAAAATAAGAACATTTTGAGCCTGAAATCAACCAAAAAATAAGAACACTGAGCCTGGGCAAAATTTTACTGGTTCTTATAAAAAAAAAAAAAAGTGTAAATCATTCTAAAATGTCCAGAATAAAATAATGAAGTCTGATAAAATAAAAATCGATATTTTAGTCGACAACAAAACATTCATGCTGATATCTTTGTTAAAAATATAATCATCAATTTTTGGTATGCAGGGTAGTAGATTTTACATGGATTTTTGTCTATTAGACACAACAGACAATGTTTGATCAGACATATCTGATCATTCAAATTATGTGTCTTTTCATGTCTGGTGAAAGTTGGAAAATGCTACTTTATCAATCTGATGACGGTATTGAACATCATAAAAGAAAAAACTATCTATAAAAGTCATAAAATATGGCAAAACGATGACGCTTCGGCAGTCGTTGACCATCTCAACTGACCTCAAGCTAAAAGTTTTTTGGTTTTTTTTTTAAATTATCAATAAATCTTTCGAACCAAACAAAAACAATCTGCAAAAACAGTTCAACAAAAGTTAAACATTGTTGAGACTAGTAGAACATACTGCTTATACTGGTTACAAACAAACACTCTGCAATTCCCAAAATTAATTACACAGTAAACTTTCAAATTAAGGCAATCAAATTATAAGGTTGAATCAATTACTCATTACATGAAAATACTAAATTGTAACAGCATCTGTGTAATAGGGAGAGACAATTTAACAAGGTGGTAGTTGCATTCCCTAAGTGTTAATTAACCACCATACTACTTCTCATACATTAATTCATTTGATAACGTAAAATACATTAAAATTCAAACAGCAAGCATAAATTTCAGATTTAAAGAACAGATTCACTCCTTATACTATTTATATTTAATAATGGTAATCTGACAAGATTTGAGAATCCTGAACTCTTGAAGCACTAAAACCATATGGAAATATAAGTTAAACGTCAACAATCTAATCGGGTAAAATTTACCAAAATTCTATTATCAGATAATAATTTTGTTATAGAAAATGAACAAATTTCTTTAATCACACATAGTAACTAAAGGAAAGTGCACACAGATACAACTGCTCAACCAGCATTAGAGGCATAATAAAGTTGACGGACGCCAAAATATAAATTAATGAGCAATTCTCTTTTATTCAGCTCCAGACAACCACTGTTGGGTTAGTATACAGACATCAGTTGGGGTTGAAGGCATTTTAAAAAGATACTGTAATTTTCATGGTCAGAGGCACTTTTTTTTCAAATTACCAGTATACAGACAGTGAGTTTCAAAATAGAATTCACCAATAGGAAACAGTAACAAAAAGACCACAGATCACTGATATTAATATCTTGCCAGTATCTATTTTTTTATATTGTGTTCAAGTGCTACACGGCAAATAATAATCAATCTGAATTCTATAAAAAAGTTACATTATTTCAATTTTTTTTTTGTTTATCAGACAATTAAGGAATTGTATTCTATTCTGCTTAGTACAGCATTTGTGTAAAACACCAAGTGACATAGCATTTTTTTTAAAGTAAATCAACAAATACATCAATAACTTAAATATATCAGTATTCAATTTGATATTTAAGTGGAACAGTTGGGCCTGAATAACTACAGAAAAGAATATTTTGAAACAATTCTACTGTACAGGAAACCACCACAACTACTTGAGAACTGGTTACAATATGCTTATAACCAAAGCCACAAATGACAAATATGATATTGTTTTGAGATCAAAACCAAAATTGTTATTTAATTCTGTCTTCCTGTATTAATTGCATTCTTCTGTTAAAATTTCAGCAATATCATCCAAAAAGAATTTTTATTTCATATACTGGTAATTCTGTATTTTATAATGTCAATAAATGAACCTTGAATATTTTTCACTTTTTTTTTCATTTTCAATGGTTTTTTTTTAATGGTTTTTAACTGGGGGAAGGAGGTGTAACCACCCTTTTTTCCACCTTTTACCCCCAGTTTTTAAATATTCAAAAATATGTATCTCATTGACCACTCCCAAGTTTTTCGTCAAATATGCTTTTCGTGTCTTAGAAAAATCAGTTGTACAACATATCAAACATTTTTTTTCTCCGGAGCCTGATTATAAAAAGGCCCTCAACATATTCAAATATTACATTGATGTGTCGTGTAATCATTTGTTTATATATTAGGTTTTGTGTTTCAGACACACCTGTGTTTTACAAAGTGTGCCACTGCTATGAAAGTCCAGATAAATATTATTATTATTTATATCACAGTAAACAGTAGCATGCATATAAAGATATTAATATATTAATATCAGATCACAGATAAAATAGATCGAAATAAAGTGTATAGCGTATATTCCTGATGATGACCTAATCAATGTCGAAATATTGAATCCCGACACAATGGCGTGCATTTCGATACTTGGAGTATGTATTATACTATCTTATTGTGTATGTGTACTATTGGGGTTTTCTACATGTGATGTCAAAAGGAGTAATTAATGGTTTCCATTACTACAGTCATCAAATCAGTTCTAGAATACCTTGAGGACATTATAGTATCTTAAAACGATGACATTGTCATAATTAATTCCATTAACTATTTACCATAGAAGTAATTTTTGATCCATTTAAGTTGGAAAGATTGTATTAACAACATTTCTTCGAAGGTAAAACTATAAATTTGTTTAGCTCATCATTTTAAGTTTTTTTTTTTTCACATGTGATACTCTTGATATGCTAGTAAATGAAATAGATATTCCATTATTTGATTACTCTTATTTTGTATGGTCAAATTGTAAGGTTGTTTTATTCAAAATTCTTTTCATTTACTATTAGATGGATTTAAGGAATATATTTTACTGTCAGTCAATACCACAACTAATATCATAAATACTCTTATTTGTTAAGACTTATTGGTAAATGGAATGAGCATGCATTCTATGATGATATTTAAATAGGTTAAATGAAAACAATCCACTGTAAATGACAATTGGGTTTTGAATGTACACAAAGTCAAGGCAATATTGTTAATAGTACCAAGCAATGGAATTACTTTAACATATTTTTAAATTTAATTTCACTTTATTTTAGGCAATTCAAAACAGTATGATAATAAACATCTAAAGAAAAAAAGCAACCAAGAAAATTTCAAAATAAACAATTAAACTATGAAATTTAATTTTTTCAAACAATTGGTGGGATGACTGCTTAAAATTTAAGGAATTTATTGTACATTGTCGGATTTCAGATGGCATTTCCTTCGATGTACAAAAATTCATAAATAATGGTTCTCTGGTAATTGCTTGATAATTGGATAACAAATATTACTGCATTGCTATTCCATATGAAATACTTTCTGGTAGTTGATATCGGGTTGATACTCTACAGACGTGATGTCGTCATTACCCAGAATGCAATTCAATACGACGGAAGTTCAGATTGATAAGCTTTATTATTAAACATATACAAACACCATGATAAGTCTTCTGAATATTGGTTCGTTGTCAACAAAAGATAAACTTTATGTTTGATCATTTATTCTAATAATATTGTATGACTCTGGACTGGTGGAAAAGGTCTACCAAAATTTCTGGAACTAAGACGCAATTAAGAATGTCTAAAGGTAAAAACATTCAAGAGGCCCACTGATTTTTGAAGATGCACCCAATCCATATTTCTATCATGAATACTTGTTCAGAAAATAGTTTCTAATTTAAATATTGATAACGTAAACCACATCTAAATTTTTAATAAACCAAGATTAACAGTAACGGTATGTGACATCAGATCCGATTTCCAAAGTATTTCTAAAAGGTTTGTTGCTCATCATCGTACTCTAGAAATAGGTCATCCTACCTTCCGCTGTAAGTTTCACCACTGAAACTTAAGTACCTACGGTATAATCTTTCATGTTGATTAAAGACTTTTTATATATCAATTAAATTTCACACGCAC